TCTAAATGTTTCTAAAAATAAAAATCTTGCTTAAAAACATATAGTATCTGGAAGTGATCAAGCATTTCCAAAAACCTTTCCAGTGCCTTGTTTAATTAATAAAATGTTTCTACAATATAGCTGGAATACTCAAAAAATACAAGGAACATTAAATTCTTTGTTATATTTATTATTTGAATTGATCTAAATGCAACATGATTTTGAAGCATGCATGTACTGAAAGTTTGGGAAGGCTGATTCATTAAAAAAAAAAAAAAAAAAAACCTTTTCAATGCACCTGTTTTTTAAAAGATCTCTCCAAGACATACTCTCACTGCTTTATTCAACTGGTCTGTTTGAACAAAAGCAGAAATTATTCATACCATACTTATCCAATTCAGCACTCCTTAGGTACAATTTCAGGAAAAAAGAACAAGAGAATCAGTGTTTCCACAGTTTATTTTAGCAGATAATTATTTAAACAAATAAGAATAAGCCATTATAAACAACCAAACAATAAAAGAAAAATAGCTTCTATTTTTTCTAAGTTTCAGGCCAAAAAAGTAAAGCATACCCTCCAGAGAGATTTCATCTGATAGTTTTCCGTGCTGTCTTATACCATTCAACTCTTGCTACATCAATGTAACAAAAATACCAAGGAAACCCTATGCTGCTGGTATTAACAGAAACTTTAAAGTTAAGAGGGAAAAAAACGTGAAGAACAAATATATAAAAGCTCTCTAACTCCCCAAATGGAACAAACGGTTTACAGAATGTTTTGCTCAATAAGCAGACTGCTCAATAATCTGGCTCTTGACAGATGAACAAAATGAAAAAATAGCAAAATGTAAAAGTGTTACTGTTCTATCAAAAAGAGAAAAAGGGGCTTCCCTGGTGGCACAGTGGTTGAGACTCTGCCTGCCGATGAAGGGGACACGGGTTCGTGCCCCGGTCCGGGAAGATCCCACATGCCACGGAGCGGCTAGGCCCATGAGCCATGGCCGCTGAGCCTGCGCGTCCGGAGCCTGTGCTCCGCAGAGGGAGAGGCCGCGGCAGTGAGAGGTCCGCGTACCGCAAAAAAAAAAAAAAAAAAAAAAGAGAAAAAGAACATTTAGTTAGGTCAATAAACTTAGTCACCTAATAAGTCATTGTTCACATCTACTTTCAAGGCTCCCAAAGACTCCGTCTCTTTTATCAAGAGAATCAAACAAACTAAAATCCAACAGTGAAACTTCTAAGAGATTCATTTTTAGCGAGTCAGGACTCAACAGTGGACATGACAGTATTATTTTTGTTAAAGCTGTTAATACATCCAACAAGCTAGAAGTCTCTATGTAGACTTTAAATCACTGTTTCGATGATTCAAACAATGCAAGTCATGAAGGTTCCCCTGCCCTCATACAGAAGTTTTGAATCTATATCAGAAGGCGTTAACACACAAAGTAATGTGAAGCAAACAATACAAAATGACATTGCAAGAGATGAAAAGAAGTATAGTTTCATATAGAATACACAATATTTTTTTTTTTAATATACACAGCTTGAGTTAGGAAGTCAAGCAGGAAATCAAGGTTTGAGTCTCAGCTCTGCCACCATCACTAGGTGAATTTTAGTGCAGTTAGTCTGTATGGATTACGTTTTCCCTATCTATAAAACAGAAGGTTGGATTCCAACGTTCCTACAATATTGTTCCATAGTATTATGATACAAGTCCACATAAGATTAAAAACCAAAGGAATGATAAAACAGTAAGGGCAGTGCGTTCAAAGGAAAGCAACAACACAGAGAACAGAAAGATCTGGAAGGTTGCACTAAAGGACCAAAAATGAAACTTCAACAAAATTTGCCTTCATTTGCCACTTAATTTAAGGAGGAAAATTCCTTTTAAAGAACACAGGCTAGGGCTTCCCTGGTGGCGCAGTGGTTGGGAGTCCGCCTGCTGATGCAGGGGACATGGGTTCATGCCCCGGTCCGGGAAGATCCCACATGCCGCGGAGCGGCTGGGCCTGTGAGCCCTGCGTGTCCGGAGCCTGTGTTCCACAATGGGAGAGGCCACAACAGTGAGAGGCCCACATACCGGAAAAAAAAAAAAAAAAAAAAAAAAGAACACAGGCTATACATAGGCAAAGTCTCAACAGATACCAAGGTAGAAAAATACAAAGTCTAAATGAGAACAAGAGATTGGGTTGGTTAGGGTGGACAGCTCCTATAGAGAATTAGTGCCATCATTAGAAAAAACAGGTTTTGAGCAGATTGTTAGAAGGCTGGGAATTCTGAACTGTACTCTGTAAATAACAGGGAACTATTGCTGGTTTAACAGTGAGGGCGTTGGAAGCATTATTTTAAGAACAGGCAGAAGGCAGGACATACTGAGTAGGGAGAAAAGACAGGCAGAAAACCCAGTTAAAAGCTAGTGGGAAGGAACAGATATCTGAAAGAAATTTCAGAAAATGGTTGACAAAAATTGGTCAATGTTAAGTTATGTGGATAGAGGAAGTCAAAGATAAAACCAAGGTTTATGTCTGGGTAATTTAAAGCATGATAAAATCACCAAAACGAAGTCAGCATATGGAATCAGTTTTGAAGGGATGACTATAAATTCTTTCTAATAAAGTGAGCATCCAAATAGAATTGTTGCCTTATTAACTAATCTTTAAATGTCATTTGTGGCCCTGTCAGCTACCTTCCTAAAACAGCACAGCAAAGTATGCACGGAGAATTTGTTAAATGCTTAGTAATTTCAAGAGTTTCCTCTAATTCTACTTATTGACCAAATAACTAAATAATCATTTAGTCTTCTGGTGTAGGTAGACAACATTTGGTATTTTTCCATATTATAAAGGTGAGTAAATTGTAAAAATTATTAATTAAACTATAAGAGGAAAAAAATGGACTGCAACTGTATTTATCAATTCTTCCTGACATGTGATTTATAACAATAATCATCAAATCTACCTTGAGTTTTGGCAGGAAAGTTCTCAAAGGTTCAAAAGAAAAATGAACCCCGTGGCATAAAGCACCATTCAATATCTAACAAAATGTTCGAAGCTTTATTTACATGGACCTGAAAGCACTGGTAACATCTGGACTAAAGATAATACTTAGAAAAGTAGAGCAAACAATTTAAAATTTAATACATGAACAAGCACAGCTGAGAAATCTTGAACATTCTGCAAACTGTTCACAGATGACAATTTTCCAAAGAAGAAAATCCCAAAGTTTGTGATCAAGATGAAATAAAACTAATATTAATCAACCAATGCATAGTTCTTGAGTTTCTATCAAACTTTGAATGGGATGCCTGTTTAAGAGCCGAACCTTATTGACAATTACCAAACAAAACCTTCTTGGATTATTTCCCCATTGACTCTGTGAACTCGCTGACGGTTGAGACTTTAGGCACAGTGCTTTCCAAGTGCTTAATAAATTGGAGAGTTGGTCTTTCATAAATCTACCAAAGTAAGATTTTTAACAATGAATACCTCTTGCAACACTCACCCGTTCTGACCGGACACCGAGTGAGCTTCTTTGCTCACACCCAAGATGGGGTTAGAAATTTCTCCTTAACCTTATTCTTTCATAACTCCCATGGTTTATCACCAAATCTAAAGGGGGAGAATTATTTTTAGGTGACTAGTTCATTCGTTCGACACTAATTAGGCGTCTATAATGTCAGAGTTCTCAGCCCCGAACAAAATCCAGCTTCCCGAGCTTCTTACGGCAAATTTAACTTTCATGGACACACACATTAAGAAAGGTTACAAAACAACTATCGAGATACATTTTCTTTTTTTTACCGGATATATTACAACTCAAGTCAAAAGCTCACAGCCCAAGCAACTCGCGTACGAATCTACAGCAGGTCCATAAGATTAAAATAACCCAGCTTTCCCGAGGAGGGAAACGGCTGGGGGTGGGAGGAGGGGCGGGAGGCGCATCCCGAGGACGTCCACCCACCGCACGGGGAACGGCTCCCTCCCCCTCCTCTCGGGCTGGAGGTGAGCGCGCCTCTTCCCCTCCACTACCACGTCCCTCCCTTCGCGGCCTCGGACTGCGCCACAACAGCCGACAGGACTTTTGGGGAGAAAAAGAAACGGGGAAGGGCGCGCGCCTCACACTCGATCTCCCAGCTTCGCGGGGGCGGCCCCTTCGCGGCCTCGGACTGCGCCACAACAGCCGACAGGACTTTTGGGGAGAAAAAGAAACGGGGAAGGGCGCGCGCCTCACACTCGATCTCCCAGCTTCGCGGGGGCGGCCGGCCGCGGCGCTCACCCCGACCCGACGTTCCGGGGATGGACCGGGAGGCCGCGGGGCCGCGCCGCCCGGGGCAGTGCCCGGAGGGTCGCGCGGAGCTCCGAGGCAAACGCCCAGGTCCGGCCGAGCGGCCTCCCCGCCCCCTCCGGCTCACCTCCGGGCCGGCAGACGGCGCCCCGGGGGCTAACTTCGCCGGGGAAGAGGAAGCACCGCGGCAAGTAACAGGCTATGTGGATTCCCGGGGCAAGGAAAGGCTGTTCTGTGCGTCTGCCTGCCGGCACAACCGTCTCACCTCCCTTCTGCCTCACCTGAGGAGGGTACCGGGACGCCGCCGCGGCCGCCGCGATGGCCGTTACGGCACGAGGCCTCCGCTCAGCCGCCGCGTAGCTCTGAAGAGAGGGGCGGGGCGCGCGTGTTGAGAGGGCGGGGCTGCAGCGCCTACTGGTCGCGAGGCCGTGGGCGGATCCGCGCGGGCAGGAAACCCCCTCCCTGCCCAATCTGATAGGCTCAGTCTCCCCTTCCACTGACGCGAAAGCCGTCTGCGCCGCGCTGGGATTGGGCGGGCCCCCTTGTCAATCAAGCGCTGTGCTGGGTGTGGAGCGAGCTGAGGCGGCTCCGCGAAGAGGGAGTGAGAACGCAAGAAGCTCCCTGCTTGACCCTGAGTCTTGTTGCTTTTGTCTTCCCGGCTGTTCTGGCTTATTACTCTGGGCCTTCCTCCTCAGCGCCACAGGAGACTCTACGGCAGAAATGACTGCTTCCCGAGTTCAACCCCGACTGCTCTGGGAGCTTCTTTCTGGTTTCTGCACCAGAAGGTCTTGCCAGCGGAAGGTTCTTAGGGGCGGGGAGCGAAAAAGAAAAAACAAACAAAAAGGCCTGGAAATGGGGACCTGAGAGAAAAATGTAAGACATATGCTTAATTTGAGCCGCAAACCGAAATAAGCTGAGTCTGAGGGCCTTCAGAGTACCCTGGTTCGTGGGTAGCTTACCGTCTTGGCTGCGGTAGCCTTGCTGTGAGGGGGACAGTGACCTTGGGTGCCGGGTCTGCCCATTCTTAGCGGCCCAGCCCCAGCCACCAGCCGTCAATAAGTTGGTTCTCTTGAGACCCCCGCTGTAGCCCCCAGTCACCTGCCTCGTTTCTTCCCAGACATCTCTGGGGCTCTGCTTAGGCGATGCCCCCTCAGGGAAGCCTGCTGGGGTGCACAGGTATTTTCCCCATCCTGCTGTTGAAAGGGCCTGTCCATACCCCTACCTGATTGTAAACTCAATTAAGTCAGGAACCATGTCAGTATTCAGTTTTTCCCCAGTGCCTAGCACATGGTAGATCGTCAGTAAATATTGTTTAAAGCATGAATACATCTTCCATTCCCATTTTAAATCCTGGTCCTGACTGTAAATTCCAAGAGTTTATGCTTTTCTGTATTTGGGTCCTGATAGAGGAATGTGGTTCTCTTGCCATATATAGGATCACAAGGTCAAGCACAAATCACCCATGGTCCCTTCCTGGCCTCAAGTTGACTGGGGCAAATGGACCATGAAATTCTGGGCAAGTACTCTGTCTATATCCCATAATTAGCATCTAAAGTCAATAATATTAAGTGAATTTTGGATTTATTCTGAGGGTCTAAATAGCTGTGTATATTTTATCAAGGCTGATGTGGACTGAATTGTGTTCCCTCTCAAAATTCATATGTTGAAGCCCTAACCCCCCAATGTGACTGTATTTGGAGATAGGGCCTTTGAAAGGTAGTTAAGGTTAACTGAGCTGATAAGAGTGGGGCCCTAATCCTGTAGGATTAGTGTCTTTATAAGAAGAGACAGTAGGAAGAGACAGCAGAGAGATTGCTTTCTGTCTTCACAACTAGAAGACACAGTGAGAAGACAGCCATGTGCAAACAAGGAAGAGAGCTCTCACGAGAAACTAACCATACTGGCACCCAGATGTCGGACTTCTAGTCCTCAAAACTGTGAGAAATTAAATTGTTGTTTAAGCCACAGTCTGTGGCATTTTGTTATAGCAGTCCAAGCTGTCTAATACAATAGTTTTATTTGTTGATACATTTCATAAAGTTTATGGATTGAGATATTATTACATTCATTTTTGAAACTATATAAACCATTGTCCAGAGGTTGAAACTATTTCTCCAAAATCACATGGCAAACTGTTAGCTACACCTGGCTCAATTCAATTCTAGTTACATGTGATGGGATTAGGGAGTGTGAATACAAATATAACAGGTAAAATATTCCTTGCCATCAGGTAGCTTATATCAGTGCCTTAAGTGGGGTAATTAAACCCAGAAAAAATATGCTGAAGTCATAAGTTTAGATTTTATTTTGTATGGGAATATGTATTTTGAATGGGCCAATGATCTGAACAGACCCTTTGTGAGATTTTGATCCAGATCTATTGACTACTGTGTGCCATCTATTTAAGCAGTAGAAGTAAGGGAGAGAGCTTTTTCATAAAAGGATTTTAGTTCCCTGTAAATATGTGTTTTTCTTTTAATCTTCCTTTAAAAGTTCCCTCATCACGCTTTCTTACCAGGAACTCTTAAAAAAAAAAAAGAAAGAAACAAAGAGAAACTAAAAAGATAGAAGAAAAAGAGAAGGAATTAAAGAAGAAAAATAAGGAAACAGCAATGAGAGAGGAAAGCATTGGGTGGAAGGGTAGATAGACAGAAAGTCATATATTGCAGTATGGTGTACTTAGAAGGAATGGAATCCATGTTCGTAAAGGGTGGGAGTTGTCCCAGAGACCTCCTTTCACACAGTCTGTCTCCCCAACTTCCAAATATAAACGTGCTCTTGGCTTCTTCTTCCTCTCTTTTAGCAGAACTCAAACCAAAAACAGGAATCAACTCTGCTTATTCATTATGAGTGGACTAGGAACTAGCCAGGATCAGGCAACAACATTTAGGTCAAAACTTATGACATATGGACTAGAAATGGGGCCTCAGATACGGGTAGCTAATCTGTCTAGGATAAAAACATGTAGACAGTTCACTTCATTCATTCCAAAGGAAAGAATCTGGGAAGAAAAGGAAAGGAAAAATGGGCCTCCATGTCTTAAGACCTTTCCCAGGAAACTATGGAGGGCTTATAGTTAGAAATGCTTAGAACTTCCCTGGTGGCACAGTGGTTAAGAATCTGCCTGCCAATGCAGGGGACACAGGTTCGAGCCCTGGTCCAGGAAGATCCCACGTGCCACAGAGCAACTAAGCCCATGCACCACAACTACTGAGCTTGCACTCTAGAGCCCGCGAGCCACAACTACTGAAGCCCACACGCCTAGAGCCTGTGCTCCGCAACAGGAGAAGCCACCACAATGAGAAGCCCACACACCGCAAGGAAGAGTAGCCCCCACTCGCGGCAACTAGACAAAGCCTGTGCGCAGCAACGAAGGCCCAACGCAGCCAAAAATAAAATTTGAAAAAAAGAGAGAATGATCTGGTTTAGCATCACTGTAAGGACTATTTAGGACAAAAAAAAACCTATCTACTAATCAGTAAGAAGAAACTAATCACAGGCTTGACTGTGACGTATGGAAATTAGCGGACCCTGGTAACTAAATTCAATTTCTATACTGAGTAATGTTAGTTTTTTATGGTAATTAATTCAACAAAAATTGATTGAGTCCACTCTGTGGTAAGCAGTACAATAGATACCAGAGACCTAAAAATATTTGTATAGTAAATACAGCAATAAATATGTACAGGGGGACATTAGTCCACAGGGGGAGGGGTGTGTGTGGTCAAGCTAGTCAGGCAAGTAAGGAGGCAAAGAAGAGAGGGTCTTTCCACATAGAGGAGACTGCGTTAAAAACAAAAAGGTATTACACAATAGTAGAATATTGCTAGAGCAGAAGATGACTAAAAGTGTAAACAAGAGTGAGTTATGCAAGTTAAGGGCCTTAGACTTTATCCTATAGGCAATGAGAAGCCATCAAAGGGTTTTCTTACAGCACTTTAAACTGTCATTCTGTTGTTCTCTGGCCTCTACTCTTTCTGATAAGAAGCCAGCTGTAATTCTTATCATTGTTTTCCTGTGTGTCATGTATCTTTTCCTCTGGCTGCTTTTAAGATTTTGTTTCTTTATCTTTATCAGTAGTTACACTATATTTCCAGGTGTGATTTTCTTTGTATTTATGATGCTGGGGGTTCACTTATTTCCCTGGATCTGCAGATTGCTGGTTGATGTATCTTTTTACCCAATTTGGAAGACTTTTGGCCAGTATTTCTTCAAATCTTATTTTATGCCCCATTCTCTCTCTTCTGTGACTACACTTACACTTATACTAGACTTCTTACTCCTTAGTACAGGTCATTCCAGGCTCTGTTCATTTTTTTTTTCAAATCTTTTTGTTTCTGTGCTTCAGTTTGGGTAATTTCTATTGAGAGCCAGTAATTCCTAAAAAATCTGAATGTTAACATTTTCCAAAAGCACAAACACCCTACAAATGACTTTGGGTTCCTCTTGGGGTATGTTTGAAGGCATATTAGGAGAACAGAAATCACAAGATATTACAACAGAGAACATAGTATTGGGTGTTGACGGACTGGAAAAGCAAAAAGGAAACACTGAAGCAGCCCAGATATGATAACTATAGACAGCAGCTACCACCCCTAGGAGTAGTGAAAAAGAGGAATCAAGGTTGGATCATCAGGTCTCAGGAGCTCAGAGGAATGACTTGCTGACCTGTAGCTTATACCCCTGGGAGGATGCTGTGCAACTGGTCCTGCTGCTACTGAGAGGGAGATGATGAGGCTGGGTAGGGGGTGGAGGAGTGCCAAAAGAAGCTTAAGGCTGAGATCAATTGCTGCTTCTGGACCAAAGGGCTCTTGCTTATTGCGGGGGTAAAAATGACAGAAACTGCAAGCAAACAGAAAGGAGGAAATCCTTTATCCCCTCTGTTTTACAGTCTCCCTCTAATGCCCTTTATTGGTGGAACCTAGTGAGACACCAGCTGGCATAGGAAAAATGTAGTTTGCAGGGTCTGAGTCATAGCATCACAGAGGAAAGTTATAGATGGGTGTATTTGAAGTTAAGATAGCTCAATAACGATAGCTTAATAAGCAGTACCATATCAACATTTGTTTGTGCTAAATTTCCCAAATTAGACCCAAATTATTGTTACTCTATGTGGTTTTACAGTCTTTTAAGCTCTTCTGAAAAGAATCTCAGGACACAAAGTTTTCAGTTTTCTGCTGTACTATGATTACTGTTAGTGTCTTTTTCAGGAGTAAGGAGTACCTTTACTGCAGCTCACACATATACTTACTACATAAACAAGGGCAGGTTTGGAAGAGATCTGCATAACTGAGGATGAGTAGACCCTCCCCCAACATTCTATCTCCCACCATAAGGCACAAAATGGCATAGACTAAGTAGAGCT